ATTATATTAGTTTTAGCTTCACTATAATATTTCATGATCACATACTGTATATACTTATAAATTATTTTTAAAATTTTAATTTATATAAAATGTTATTTTATTTAAATAGATTCAAAATTCATCTATTTGTCAAACTATAAATACTGAAATTACTCCAATCAATGATTCTAAACAAAGAAGAATTACCTGTAGTTTAATCATTTTTATTATCTGTGATGTTCAACCCTTATGTATTTTAAAATATATATCATTTAAAGAGTTAATGTATGAATGTGTACTAGGATATGCTATTCTATATAACAAAACTGTGAAAAATATTATTTGTAGCACATATAATTGGTCTTATGCACAAATGATAGAATTAATTAAAAATACTGCACAAACTATTAATCTTACTATGAATCTTTAAATGACTAAAAGTAAATATGATTATCTTTGATTACAGCAACTTGGCTTGATTCAAAATTTAAATTTAGAGAAGCACTTTTATCTTGCTATTATTTTTCATATCTGTATACAAGTAAAGTTATCAAAAATGAGTTAAAAAAAATTATTCAGAATTGGAATTTAGATAGTAAATTATTTATTATTGTTACAGATAATAGCACCAATATGATCAAAGCTTGTTATTTATTAGAAGAAGAATTTAAATCAATAAACTGTTTACCTTGTGCTATATATATGCTTTAGCTTTCAGTTCAAGCTAGAATTAAATAAATTAAAATAATTTATAAATGACTTAAAAATTTACAAACTTACTTCTACAGTTCCAAACATGCTTAACAACTTTATGATGCACAAAAAACAATTATACAACAAATCAAGATGATGATATTGATCAATGGGAACTAATAGATATTTAACCAACCGCAAGACTTATTGAAACAGTACATATTATGTATAGAAAAGATTAATAAAATTAGATGATGCTATTAGAAGTCTTGCTACAACTTTTTGACCATTATAATGGCTCAAGTTCAGAAGGAAGACGAACATCTTAATAAATTACTTCTAAAGCTAAAGAATTTAGGTAATTTCTTTTTATATTTAATGCAAAATAATTCATAATATAATTGAATATTATTTTAAATATAGTCATTCTCTTGTATAGTTATCTTCTATATAATCATATCATAAAACTGTCTTTATAATCATGCAGAAATTTGTAACACTCTACTAATAAATTTATAAAAAATATATCTTTTTATAAGCATACCATAGCAAAAACTATTATATAATTACAAATTTGTATGATACAGACTGCAAGATTATAGAAAAGAATGACTTTATATTTATATTTTTTATGTATATTTTAGATAAGGCTATGCAAAGTTAATTTTCATTTTGTATAACCTACTGGTCTATTTTTTTCAATTTTTCAAATTATTACTGTGATTACATTAATATTATTTTTAAAGTCTCAATTGTGCTAGTTATTATATTATTTTTTTTATACACTTTTCTATTATTACTTGAAGATCTAATATTTCGAAATTCTCTGATAGGCTTGATAAAGAAAATATCTCACTGCTGACTCAATTTCCTAATTTATATGCAATACAAAATAAAAAATTAACTTTGTATAGTCTTTGATATAAACATGAGTCTATTAATTTACAATGCATAAAAAAATTTGACTAACCAACCCAATTTTCAGATTTCATGTTATGCAAAATGAAGAATTAATATATGCATTAATATATATAGTAATTTATTTTTTTTATTAATTTTTTTTTTTAAGTTTTATCAATAATATGCTAGATATTCTAGCACCATGCAAAATAATTACTCAACATATTTCTGATGCAATGTATTCAACTATTAATTTAATATATCCTTATATGCATTTATTAAAACAAAAATTTGCCTCAACTGGTAGTAATACAATAAATGACTATATAGATTCATTATATAGATCAGCTTTATCTGAAAACATGGATGAAACTGATAATGCAGATAGTAGTACTGATAGTAATATCAAAGAATCAGAATATACTTACCAAACAATTAATAAAAGCAAAAACCAAAGTTATAGTCATGGTAATAGTCATAAATGTAGATATGGGCACAGCCATGGTCATAGACATGGTTACAGACACAAGAACAGAAATAGGCATAGGCATAATTGTAAACATAGTGTACATAGTTATAAATCCTATAGTAAGCATAGTTGTAAATGTGATGAAATAGATTTAAGTGAACTTCTAGACAAAGTTAAAGCTACAATTTATCTTTTTCTTGAAGAGTTATAAGATTTTTCAGAAAAAACAGCTGTTTTGGTCACAATTTTAAATTCTCATCTTAAAAGCCTTTGATTTGTTGATCAAACTAAATATATTAATATTCAAGAAAAGTTTAAAACCAAATATCAAAAACTAAAAAATAATTAAGATAATATTTTATCAATGACACAAGATGTAAATGATGATACAAATGTTGTTACTATGTTTGATAATATGTGAGCTCCAACTCAAGAAATAATTCAGACTGAAGAAAATAAAGTTTCTTACTATATATATCTTCCAGAAACAAAACCAACTGATGATCTACTAGTTTGGTAAAATAATCATAAAAATACTTTTTTGATTTTATCATTATTAGTACATGATTATCTAGATGTCTCTGCAACATCAGTTCCAAGTAAAAGATTATTTTCTGTTACTAATATTCACATTTCAGTTCATTGAACTAGATTACATCCAGATTTGGTAAACTATATACTTTTTTTAAAAAGAAATAGAGAATATGTTAATGATATTTTTTTATCTTAGTTAATTAAAAAATATAATCAGCTAATTTGAGAATAGGCCAAATTACCTTTTCGACATTTTATTAATTCTTTAATATAGATTTAGGCACTTATTTTTTATAGATTATTATATTATTACTAAGTAATTTTTAGATCTATACACATATGGGGTCTTTGCCTTGAAAATCAAGTTTGGATCATATGATTTACTATGTTTCATAAGGTCATTTTCAAGGCAAAGACCTCATATATGAAAATTTCTAATTGAATGTTAAATTAGTACCAATATGATCACATGAAATATGAGAGAGACAACTTTTTTTGTGATATATATTTTTTTCTATCCTATTTTAAAAAGTATTATGATTAGTTTTAAAAAGCCAGATATATGTCTCATATGACTTTTATTTTACAAAGTTATTATTAATCAACCTGACTTTAGACAGTTTTTTGTTTTATAATAGAAATTAAGATAAATAATATGTATGTTATAGTTGCTTAGTGATGTATACATCATGTGTTGTGATGGGCTCTGTGGTGACAGTTCCACTATTATTTTTTTATAATTTTATATTGTTGTTATTTTATTTTTTATTTTTTTTACTATTATTATTATATATTACCGATTATATTACCTATTCTTGTTATTCTTGTGAATTGTTTGTCTTTTTTTTGAAAAATTCAGTTCAATAGCCTTTCCAAAAGTAGTAAATGAAAAGAGATCATTATCTTAGATAAAAAGAATGTTCATTATAACTAACATGTTCAACATAGTATATATAGTCAACCTGGTAAATATGTAAGCCATAGTTCACATAGTCAATATGTTTAACATAGATCAAATGTACAAGATCTACTCAATAAGTATGTAAAAGATATATAAGACTCATCTTTTCACTCAAATAAAGACTAACATTTTGAAGTTCAAAAACTCTGAGTTCCAAAAAAACTTTCGAAATAAGAGTAGAAGTGCTTGTCTTTAACCCATTGTCATTATCATATTTTCTTGTCCCTGTGACTATCGTATTGTCGTATTTAGTAAAAGAGTATTAGTAATACAAGCCCTTATATATTAAAATCAATCCTGATTAAATTTGTGATCAATGAATTTGTGATCCTGTGATACCGTGACCTTGTACCACATTCCGATTGGCTAATTTCGATCATGAGACCCAGCCGCAGTACCTACGAAAAGAAAAAGTTATAGTATTAGCGAAGGTGTTAAAGAAAGTAAAATACTTGTTAAGGAAATAAGAAACACTCATCTGAGTCCAACACTATCTCTACTCATCCAATTAACCCTAGTTACTTGGACCAAGTCTTTCCACACAAGCTTACCAATATTAGGGTTTAGTTAAAGTAGTTTGTGTTTTAGTTAAAGTAGTTTGAGTAGAGTATATATCGACCCAGTAACTTTTCTGACACAGCTTACACTTTCTCAGCATGCAAAAATTATATTGAATATACTGTACATATTATGATTGGAGAATATTTCGTAGGAAAATTCCCACTTAAAATATAAAAAGGTGAGATACTTTCCTGAAATTATGTTTACCTGGAATGACTGATTGTGAAACTGGCAAATCTAATGATAGTAAAATTTTCAAGGGCATGAAAACTAAAAAAGTTGAACAATTTTCACAATTGTCTATTTAATTTATTATTACAGTCATTTCTCTAGCGAACTGGCTGTTCTGAAATCTTTATTCACTGCAGAGCGAGTTTGTTGTATAATGAAATCTCTTATAGTAATCAAAAGACACTAAAAAGAAACCTTAATGAAAATTTGAAATTGGAGATTCGCAATAATCTAGTCTAAGAATATAACTTGAAATATACAATTCGCTTCTCATTTGATTTTATATTTATAACGACTTATAGCTTTCAAGCATCTAGCCTGATGAATAGAAAGCGAATTTAATTAGACAGTAATCGAATATATTGACAAATTGATCAGTTTATTTAATTATCAACTTGCCTATGATTTATCGAGTGAGATACTTAAGAACCCTTAGTCTATGGTCACAATAATAATATATTAATTGGGACAGATTAAAAATTTTCTAGTTACCAAAACCCTTCTGATTTCGTCCTGTAAATCACCTAACCCTTCAAATTACATCACTATCTCCGGACTGAAAGCTCGGAAATAGCAATATAGTTTTTGAAGAGTTAAGTAATTTACAGGACAAATCAAAAGATTTCGGATAATGAACAAATTTTTAATTTGTCCCAGAACTTATGAGAATTGTATAAGCTTTTCTAATTTAGCTGGTAAGTGTAACAATCATTTATTGATTAATGAATCGAATGAAGCTAAAAAAAGATATTAAATAAGTGATCCAAATGCTACCCGTTATCCTAATACTATACTATTGCATTATGGCTTTCATTTTCCCTGCATTTATTTAATCGGCATATTAAAATTAACATGATGAATTCTATGTACATATTTATTAGCATGTTCGTACTGGTCCTGCGTGATATCGACCTTATAAAAATATTTTAACGGTCTAACCATTATAAGACTGTTTAACCATTATAAAATTATTTTTCTAACAGTTTAACTATTATTGTTATGAAAATATACTAACGGTTTAACTGTTATATAAAATATTTTAACAGTCTAAAGGTCTAGCTGTTATAAAAATTTTTTAACGGTCTAACGGTTTAACTGTTATTAAACTGTTTTAACAGCTTAACTGTTAATAAAATATTCTAACGGCTTAACTGTTTTAACGGCTTAACTGTTATTAAACTGTTTTAACAGCATAACTGTTAATAAACTAGTCTAACGGCTTAACTATTATTAAACTGTTCTAACTGCTTAACTGTTATTAAACTGATCTAACGGCTATTAATAGTTAGAACTACTTTGCGAATTATATATGAATCAAAAATTCGAATTTTATATGAATTCAAATGAATCATTCGAATCAATTCAAATTCAAATTAAATAAGTTTGAATTTAAAAATTAAGTTCGATTCCAATCTCTAGTTTATAATTTGCTTATGAATTTACTTTTCACATTCTAATAAAAAAAATTCCTTACCATGCTTTGATATAAGAATAATTTTTACTATTACTTAATCCTGACCTAAATTATTGCGTTAATTGGTTTGTTTTGATTTCACGTTACACCTGATCTTATGGATCGGGTCATGATAATATTTAAAATAATTGCTTTAGTAAATGTTTTTTTTTCTCTTCGATTCTTTAAAGTGAAAGCGATTATTAAAAGCATAAACTCCAATAAACACACTATTTTAAAAGTATATGTTGATTGTCGTAACAAAATTTCCATTAACAATAAACGAAAAAGAATTAAAATTATAAAAACTAATCAAGAAAATGCAATTGAACCAGAAAATCTTGTAGATTTTTATTTTTAATGCTCTTCTGGAAGATTATAAATCTGATTACTTATTTGAATCCAGGATGTAACAACAAAAAATTATTGAAGACAACAAATAATAACGATAATATTAATAAAAAAAACTTTGTGTTATTGCATAAGTTGAAAGATTATAATCGTTTTAAAAGGCTATGGAATATTCCAAATACTTGGAAAAACCGTAATCATAATGCTTTCTGGCTATAATAAATAAGCATTAATCTTGTTTAGGCAAAATTTTATATATAAACTACCATAAATTTATCTCTATTGTTAGCCTCTGACATTTAAACCTTTCTTATTAGTAACATTGTTAATGAAATACTCAACGGCAAGCTTCACACAGTACCTACATGTTGTTTATTGACAAGTAAAAAATCAAATAATTATCAAATAATTAAAATCTTAAAACTAATAAAAGACTAAACGAATTCTGATAAAAGGAATTCCGCATGCTAATGACTTTCAGCTTTATCACTCCTTGTAACTCCATTATGTATCAATTCATAATTACATTTATATTGCTGTCAGCCTAATGCTTTATCCACGTAATAAATTTAACATTGACAAGAAAATAAAAAAAAAATAATAAAAAATAAAAATAAAAACTAAATAGAAACATGTAATAAAAACAAAAAAAAAATCTTTCTAATCAATGCCAAAAATATTACATGTTCTTATAGATCATGATGCCTAAAGGTAAGAAGGGAAATCCTTAGCTCGAGTAGCAATTATACGAGGAATCTTGTTCAATAAGACCATATCTTTATAACTAATGTTATTATATGCAAGTTTCAAAGAAATCAATGTGGTATTATAACTGAGTGCCTCTGCTAATGCTTTTCCGCCTTCAGAGCCAAGTCGATTACTAGAAAGATCTATAGAAAGCAAGGAAGTGTTTATACAAAGAGCTCTTGCTAGTACCTTTCCTACTTCGTGATCAAGTTGATTTAAACTAAGGTCCAAAGAAGTTAAAGTAGTATTATTACAAAGTGCTAGCGCTATTGCTTTTCCTTCTTCAGTACCAAGTCTATTTAGAGAAAGATCCATAAATACAAGAGAAGTGTTTACACAAAGTGCTTTTGCTAATGCTTTTCCTGCCTTAGAACCTAGCCGATTGTATCCAAGACGTAAAGAAGTTAGAGAAGTGTTCTTGCAAAGTGCCTCTGCTAATGCTTTTCCCCCTTGAGTGCCAAGTCGATTACTAGAAAGATCTATAAATGTAAGTGTAGTATTTTTACAAAGTGCTTTTGCTAACGCTTTTATTCCTTCAAGACCAAGTTGGTTATCATAAAGTTTTAAAGATTTTAAAGTAGTGTTCTTGTAAAGTGCTTCTGCCATTACTTTTCCACCTTCTGGTCCAAGATGATTATGTCCAATATTTAAGATTTCCAATGTATTATTTACACAAAATGCT